GCGGGCAAAGCCCTGGTGCGGATAGGAACGGACGGAGCGGAGCGCAGCGAATTTCCGGCCTCCCCTGGGCTTCTAGTACCCAGACGCCGTCATATCTTATGACTTATAACCTGGTAGAACATGCCTAGACAGAGTCCGGAGTGAGAGAGAGACTCGAGAGATTGCCTCGCATGCAATGCAACTGAGGGGGAAAATACCCGACGCATACTCGTCGTGCATACTGTACCTTACGCAGTTTGGTATCCATCTCCTCGTAGGCATCAAACCCCCCTTGTCCGCATGGCTCCCCTGGAAGCAAACACCCGACGCAACTCGAGGCTCGACCCCCGTGACGATGGACGGTAGATTGCTCGCTGCACCTCTGCGGATCCCCTTGCCATGTTGCTCTTCTTTCCATGCGCAGATGCTCTGGTGTGGTCAAGTGCTGGCCAAAAGATGCAACACCGTCATACGGTGGCCCGTTTCCTGCGGCTGATGCTAGCGTGCCAGTTGGATCATTCAAAGTTGGCCCCCCCCCCCTGACAGAGTTGCCAAAGGTATCCCACACGGTTCGAGATGAGGGCGATCTGTCTTGCTAGGGAAGGGCATCTTTGCTTTTAGCCGTACCTGATGAGTCCTGTTGAGGGATATCTTGCACTCATAACACCTAGATGGGAGTCGTTGTGAGTGGCTGGAAGTCGGGCGACGATGGGATACTATCTACGCTTTCAAAGGTAAGCTCAGTCGCTTCAACCCGTTGTACACACGCACGCAGAGCTCCGCTCACTTGTGCGTGCTCACCTCGGTCTAGACGTGCGGCTAGAGCGGAGTGGACAAAAAGCCCTGACGGTGAAGCATGTCAAAGCAGCACGACGTTGCTGCCCATGACTCGTCGTTGTCCCTCCCGTTGCTGCACTGGTGGCGTGCTGTAAAGAGCACAGCAAGAAAGATTTGACATTTCCAACCTCGAAGATTGTCGCTGTCGAGTCGTCTTTGCCTACAAAGTACATGCCCCAAGTACTATAGTACTTGTATTGGCGAGGTGGTAGCAACAACCCTTGCCGGTCACGTACATATTGACCTGCAGCGCCCCCATACTCGGCAGACATGATGTGCAGACTAATTCGATATGAGTTAGTAGTTGTAGTGCTACTAATATTTCGTGTCTTGCGTGTCCAAGTACTATGTAGCATGAGTACCATCTGCAGACATGGCGGCTGTGGTTATGCCTTGTAAGTTGGACAATGCGTCTCCCTGCTCCCAAGACCCCGCGCATTGCTGTCTTGGACACGGCACCCTTCGGCAACAGGCGAACAAGCCGCGCAAGGGCTGCCTCGTGCGTGTGGCAGTCGAGAAAGCGTGTTTGATTCGGTACACGTCCGTACCTGTGGACGGACAAGAGACACATCCATATCAGAGGTGTGGGCCTTATTGAAATCGAGTAGTATCCCCTGTCCTCCGAGATTAAAAAGCAGGCTGGTGGGTTGCTTGTCTGCTTGTTTGTAAGCCACGGGTCTCTCGACTGTATTCAGTTGGAATCTGCAGAGACAAGGAACATGTACTTTGGCTCCGGGTAATGCTTGCAGTGATAGGCTGCACACTCCGAGTATGTTGCCCACGACCTGGCGGTTGGAGGGGGAGAGAGCGCATGTAGAGGGGGGAGCCCATACGCCGAAGCGTCTTGAAGCCTGTGCGACAAAAATGCGGTCAGTTTTGGTTTTTTGTCTCGGACGTCGAGTCATTGGCTGAGGTGCCCCCTTCTAGAACGATGCTTGGAACAATATGCAGCGAACCCCGCACCCCACGTCTCGTCTGTTGTCTCGTTGAAAAGGCCGTTGCAATAAGACAGCGTCAGGTACGTGATGCGTGCGCATCCTCGTCCGTTGGACATTGTCGAGCAGGAGAGAGCGGGCGTCTCAGCGAACCTCGCTCTGCGGCCGATTCGGGGCCAAAATCAGAGGTAGAACCCGTCATAGCCAAGACGCAAGAGAGCTCCCCATTACCCTAGCATCTGCTCTGATTAACATGTCCATGTCATGGCCCCCGTTCGGAGCGGTTCGTCCCACCTGAAGGCTGCACATGGCGCAACAACAGTCCCACTGCCTAGTGTCACAAGGGCAGAGACCCAAAAGCGATGGCTTCCAAGGTGGTGGCGCCACTCATTGTTCCGGTCGGGCGGCGGCGTCGGGTCGGGTCGTAGATTGGATTGCAGAACGCACGCTCGACAGTGCAGCCGCCGAGGGATTCGCAGACGGGATCTCAGGTATCCGTTCGTGTTAGTCAAGCCGTGGGCATGGAGTTGCGACTTTGACTTGTGGGCACGAGAGTCGTAGGCAAGGCATATTGGGCCCGAGAAGTGCTGGCAACGAGCAAAGAATCCTGGGCCGCAATGACGGAACGGCAAAGGACATGAGCCATGGGCGTTCAAGGCGCTATTGCAACTGTCAAGTAGGAGTTAGCAAGCATTATTTGGTGGTGGTGGTGGTGGCGGCGCCGCGACGCATGCAACATACTTGACACGCATAATGGCTGAGTCGGCGCCCCAACCCGCGGGAGCTGACATGCGCTGCGGTCAACTTTGGCCATCTTTAGCTCCCACTCGAAGAAGGGAGACACGATACTATTACATGATGAGAGGAAGCGACCAGACACTCGCTGTGCTTGGCAATGAGAGCCAGAGCCAGAGCCAGAGCCTCTTGAGAGTCGAGACATGAGATGGAGACTCGACCGACTTGCCTGGCAAATGACAACAGCCCGCTTAACCCGCCAGAGCGGTGGGGATATCAGGCAGGCAGGGGGGTGCTGGGAGAATGCTGGGACCTGGCAGCGGTTAGCCGCTTCGAGGTTCAGCACCTCTTGTCTTCGTCCCTGTAGATACAGTACATACGAGTACAGTAGGTACCAGACGTGTCGTGTGCCCTGGCCTCTTGTCTGGTAGGACCAGCGTAACGCATCCGTCCTCGTACAGGCGAGTCGTTGGCTTGGGGCTGCAGAATTGCGCCCACAGCAGCTGTCAGTTGTTTGCTGGGGCGAGTCTCTGTGCGGCCGGCCTGGAGAAGCGGCAGCGAGGGGGCGAGAGACCAGCGACTCGGGTTGGAGCCTTGGCCATGGGCCGCTGTACATACGAATCCAGACCCATGCCTGGGGTGGAAGCCATCGTCAATCCATCAGCACTGTGTTGTGTCGTCTTCCGCTCCCTTGTCTCGCCGGCCAGTCACAGCCCATGCGTGCCTGGATGGTGCCTGGAGCTTCTCCCGCAAAGGCTCGGTACTTCGTATGGTGACTTGTTGGGCGGCGCGGGCAGTGTCGCACTCGCGCTGGGATGGCGACAAAGATGACGACCTGCGTCCAGGTTCCATGTTGCAGTTGAGATTGATGGAAGCAGAGAAGCCCAGTCGAGCTTCGGCTAACTTGGGGGAGTACCTAGGTAGGTATGTACCTACCTTACATTATTTACCAGGTAAGTACTTCAGTAGGTATGTCCCCAGGGCCTGAGAGTCTTGTACCCCGTCAAGCCCGTACTTGAAGTTAGTGGACGGTAGCACCTGTGACACCTGTAATAACTGTCATGTATGTTGTCCACCTGTGATTGCAGGCTGGTGGTGCGTGTGCTCGTACGGGATGCAGAGCACTGTACTTTAGTAAGTAGGTACTAGGTAGGTTGATACAGAGCAAGGTATCCGTACTTTTAAGGTACCTTACCTACTGAGTACCTACCTTAGTAGGTACGAGCAGCAATAAACGCTGAAGACTCAGTTGCCGGTTAGTAGAGGTGGTGGTACCTGCAGTTGTGCTCGCTCCTCCTTGCCTGAGACATCGTCACTGCCTCGTTCCTTTTCTACGACTCTGACCGATGCATCGCTCTTCTATATTGCAACCCTCCAGTCCATCTGCGCAACACCTGCAAAGAAAACAAAAATAACACGGCATGACAAACCACCATCTTGAGTTCATGGCCGTGGTTCTGGCGGTGGAACAAGGGCGGCACTGACAGGGATGCTTCAGGTACGTACGAGTAGTATCTGGTTCTTGTCTGCTGTCCGCAGTGGAGGGGCCTCTCCTTGTCTTTTTCTTTGCTCTGCAGTGCATGCGCCGGATTCTTCAAGGCGGCGGTAATAAATGAAGGCAGAACCCCTCCATGGCCCAGTCTCTCCATACAAGTTCCCTTGCCTTGCCTTGGACAATCCACACATCCCATCCACTCCGTCTCAGGCACTTGCTTGGCTTGTCTCTTGTCGCTCTCTCTTGACATTGGACTCTGTCTACCTTGGGTAGGTACTCTCTTTTGTCTGCGAGGACCAAAAAACCCGAGTTTGCCTCTTGTCTCCTGCCTCTCGCTTCGGCTCCCGCTTCAGCTTCCCTGACACAGTGCGCCTCTGCCCTGGTCCTCCTCTTGGGCTCTTTGCCCTTCTAGTATTACTATTGGCTCTAGCCCTTTGCATTGCTGTGTTTCTTGCTCTGCGTCTTACTCTGCGTGTTGCTCTACCGCTTTCTCTGCTCTGCTTTTGCTGTTGCTGCTGCTGCTGCCGCTGCTGCTTTTTTTTTTTTTTTTTCCCTGCTCTCCGGCACTTTGCGTGGGTGATCCGGGTCCCTGGACCGAACCACCTCCTCAAAAGGTCAAGAGCTTACCCTTACCTTAGCCTTTAGTACCCAAGGCAGCCTTCGACCTCCCTCTTTCTCTTCTCTCTCTCTCTCTCTCTCTTCCTCCCCCCTCTCTTCCTCCCCCCTCTTCTCTGTCCCCCCTCCCTCCTACCGCCTTGCCTTTCTCGAGCTTCAGAAAGACGAGCACAGCTCGCAGCATCTCCTACCTACTCAGCCCAACGCTACGACAACTTGACCCCCTTCCGCATCTTCTTAGCGAAGCTGCTTCTTTCCGGGCTCGACTAAAGGCCGACAAAGGCGTACAAAATCGGACAAAGGCAATCGCTTCGCTCAAAGCTGTAGCCTGCCAATACGCAACCTGATAACAACGCTACTATACAGCCTCCGCCTTCTCGAACGCGATAGCAGCAGCTTCGAAAATGGCTGACGAGAAGCCGTCGGTCCTCATCATTGGCGGCCTGGGCTATATCGGCCGCTTCCTCGCCCAGCACATCCACAAGAACAACCTTGCCTCAGAAGTCCGAATCGTCGACAAGGTGTTGCCGCAGCTCGCCTGGCTGGCGCCCGAGTTTTCGGAAGCATGCGCCCAGAGCAAGTTCATGCAGGCCGACGCTAGCAAGCCGGGTACGTAGCTGTCCTTTTCGCTCTTGGTTGCCCTCTTACCTCCACGAATGGCCGTCACTGACAAGTTTGCGCGCCGCTCTCAATAGAGGCTCTAGTTAAAGTCTTCGACCGACCCGACGGCAAGCAGTGGGACTATGTTTTCAACTGTGGTGGCGAAACGCGATACTCCCAGGAAGACGAGGTTTACAAGCTCAGGTCCCTGGACCTGTCCCTTGCCGTTGGCCAGGAGGCGGCCAAGCGCAAGGTCAAGGTCTTTGTCGAGCTAAGCACGGGCATGGTCTACAAGCCGGATTCTTCCCCCAGCAAGGAAGGGGACAAGTTGAAGCCATGGAGCAAGATTGCCATCTTCAAGCTGCAGGCAGAGGAGGCATTGGCCAAGATCGAGGGGTAAGCCACACCCGGACTAACCCCTACCCCAAGCCCTGTGTATCTGACCGTGTCGTGTCTACAGGCTTAATCTCGTCATCGTCCGCCTACCCCATGTGTACGGCCCGTACGCTTCTCAGTGGGTTGCGACAGCTCTATGCATGGCCCGCGTCTACCAGCACATTGAGGGCGAGATGAAGTGGCTGTGGTCTAAGGATTTGCGAACCAACACGGCGCATATTCATGACGTATCCCGAGCCCTTTGGGACATTGCCGCCTGGTACGACGCCGGCAAGCCCAACTGGAACGAGAGCGAGATGGGCAAAGTGCCCATCTTCAATGTGGTGGACAAGGGCGCCACTACACAGGGCACCATGGCCGACATCATCGGCGAAATCTTCAAGATCGAGACGGGCTTCCAAGGGCAGCTGATCAGCACTTTTGCCAAGATGAACCTCGACAGCGTTGTCGACGACGTCAACGACGAGATTCTTGGACCCTGGGCTGATTTGCTCTCCGACGCCGGCATCACACGGCCAGGCCCGCTGACGCCCTTCATGGAGAAGGAGCTTCTTAAGGACACGGACCTCAGCATGGATGGCAGCAGATTGGAGAGCGTCGTGGGCTTCAAGTACGAGAAGCCTGTCATCACCAAGGAGCTTGTTGAAGAGGTCATTGAGAGCTACAAGCAGATGAAGTGGTGGCCATGAGGAGTGTCGAGCAGGACCCCACGTAACGCTTGATGCGCGACACATCCAAAGCATGACTGATTCGATGCCGATTACATTTCGACACATGAGCATATTTGAAAAGCAAGCGGCCGATTGACGCCCACGCAGACGTCGTGGTTGAACAGCTTGCAGACGAGCGCGGGATAGCCCTTGGAAGCAAGGATACACCAGGCGTGGTGGAGATTGGATCTACGAAGATGCCGATTGAGGACCCGAAGGAGCCAGCAAACAACCTCTGGTCTTTTGTATCATTAGATATTCACACGGTTCCGAAAGAGTAGCACGATATCCGCCCGGGAGTTGAGTTCAACTACAGCTGCAGGGCTTGTCTTTTTTTTCTTTGTCCTTTTGTTCCCCCCCATTTTCATCTTACCATATACTTTTGCTTCTACTTCATGTTTCTTATTCGCTTCTGGAGGTTTACAAGGGCTGGTGGAATGCGAATAATAGGATGTGGTCTGTGGTCTGTTGCCTGTGGTTGGTGTGGCCTGGTTGCGAGTCTCCGTGGAGGCATGCTGGTTTACCCTGCTGTACACGAATAACTGGAGAGAGAATTTGTCCCCAATATGACATGACAACCTCTGACTTGATTCCAACTTTTTCGGAAGAAGCGTCCGAGCGATAGAATCCTTGCAGCACCATCGTCAATGCGTGAGGCAGTAGGCAGGCGCTGTAGGGCCGGTAAATGTTGGCGCATGAAGTTGACCGTCAAAAGGGCTGAGTGCAACCCATACGGAGCAGGGCACACTTGGCTGCGTCGGTGGCAGACAATGACGAGCTGGAGATGGCCCATTCGTCAATTAAGTACCATGATCAATAACGAGCAGAAAAGGCGCCAGTCGAAATGGGGGAGGAGAGGCGCAATTCAAGTTTCCTAAGCCGTCAATCACGCAGCTTTTACGAAGTTGCCTAAAGGCGAGGTGAGGTAAGGAAACCCAAGGGGATGATGAGGGGAGGGGAGGGGGGGCGTGTGTCACACAACAGGGCGTGGATTCCCGGTCGGTGGTTGCGCCTCGGAAGCTGTTTGCTCAGCAAGCTTGTGATAGTGGGAGGTCAGGTAAGAAAATACTACTAGTAAGGTACATAAGGTAGGTGCTGGGGGAGGGTGGGAACTGATTGATGTGCATTTAAATGCCCCAGGACTTGCCCGTTGCCTCCAGGTCTTTCAACTCTTTTTCCTGTTGCCTGTCAGCGTTGTTGAAGATAAACCCCAACAAAAAAGCGATTCTTCTTCCTTTGACATTGTGAACGCTCTTTTCTTTCTTTGATCGGGTGTCTTTCTGTATCGTCATAGAAGTCGACTTTAGACAATCTGCAAAGACGAGATTTCGCAACCATGGCTGCTCCGGCGAACAAGACTACCAAGAACCTCAATGGTCACTGGACTATGGTATGTTGACTGAGCGCCTCTTTTTGTCTGTCTGTTCCTGTCGCTTGGTCTGTTCCTCGAGCCTTTTCCGCCAAGTTCTTGACAAGAGGAATCTGGAGATGTAGCCTGTTGTTTCATTACCCCTCCCCCGCCATGGCGAGAGCTACAATGCCTTCTTGTCATCGCCAGGGAATCTCTCTCCAGCAATGCGCTTTTCTCGGAAAGACGACGGGCTCTCGTCGGAAGAGTTGCCATTGAGGGCGTCATGACTGGCCTCGGTCGCATTGACGATCAGCTTGGCGCGTTGCGCACAGTTCCATCATCTCTTCGCCAGGGGCCGCGCTTTCGATCACACCAAGCACGCAACAACCTAAGCTGACATTTTAAACAGAACAAGTCCCTCTCCGACTCGTCGGAGCCTGTCCTCGCCCTGCAGGGCATCGGCTACATCACGCGCAAGGCCATTGGCCTGGCGACCATCACCATCGAGGTGCGCCAGTACGAGGGCCCGCCGAGCCCGCCCAACACGTCGACGGACCCCGTGACGCACATTGACATTGTGCAGTCGGCGTCGAAGCTGTCGAGCACGCAGGAGAACCGGTGCATGGACGGCTTCACGCGCGGGCACACGGACTGGCTGTTTGGCACGGTGGAGGGCTCGAGCCGGTGGGTGTCGCTGGACGAGGTGGCCGACGAGTTTTTGAAGACGGGCTGGGAGGTCGAGGGCGAGGGCAAGAGCTTCATCACCAACGTTGCCAAGAATGCGGAGAGAGGGTGGGTTGCGGAGCAGGTCTGGGGGTTCCAGATTGTGGATGGCGAGAGGAGGTATTGCCGGCATGTTGTTGTGACCAAGGGGGAGGAGAGGGCGCAGATTCGGTTGGTGTATGATTTTGATGGGGAACTGGAGGAGAAATGAGAGGTTTTATGCTGCTATCTCGGTTTGACAAGGTCAAGAGAAGATGAGCTTGAAGGATACATCATGATACGGTACATTAACAGACGTTTCATAGAACGAATTGATGCTGACATGTGTTGAATCCCTACGCCATGAGGTAATTGTCCTCTGCATGATAAGCATACCGCTGTATAGCAGAAACGATCCCTCTACCACACTGTTGCGAGCAATTCTCTGGCTCTTAGATTCATCGCAAACCAACGAAGAACTTCATGGCGTGCGGTATGTTGAATATGGCCAACTATTCTTTTCCAAACGCCGTCTTAGGGCCAAGAAACAGCGCATTTCCTTCCATGCCTCCCGCTACCCCGTAGATATCATAGCCCCTGATCTATTCAGCCAGACTTTGCTTCTGGCTCTTCGTCATTCCATTGGTGGGAGACCCAGTCTCTAAGCAGGCCTCCTCTTGACAAACTCCTCCAAATCCTGCACCGTCGCAACGCCCAGCACAAACCGCCTATTCTCGTCCGTAATGACCGCAAACTCCTCCTGCCACTCGCCATCGGGCTTGTTACCCCGGAAGAAGGCCTCGAGCTCCTCCAGCGGGGTCTGCATGGTGATGACGCGATAGGTGCGGCCCTTGCGCTGGAAGCGCGTCATGGCGGCGGAGAGGGGATCGGAGGGCTTGACGCGGCCGGCCTCGAGGAGGGACTGCAGGTGCGGGATGGAGATGTAGCCGAGGAGGGCGCGGGTTTCGGAGTCGACGACGGTGAGGTGGGTGTATTCGCGCTCAAAGGCGGAGAGGAGGGCGAGGGAGATTGCGTCGGAGGGGTTGAGGGAGAGGGCGGCTGGGGGGTCGAGGTCTTCGACTGTGGCCTGTGAGGTTTGAGAGGGCTTAGCTGAGGGCTCGGATTGGAGCGCATCGGGATGGGTTTGAACGTACGCCTCGATATCTTGAGGACCAGGACGTGGAGAAGGGAGCGGTTGTTGTTGTTGTTGTTGTTGCTGCTGGGCCGGCCGCGGCGGGCTGATGCGTCAATGTGGTGGCCATGGCTCGATGTCTGAGTAGGTGGGAGGCTTTGATTTGTGTGCGTTTGATGCCGGGCACGGTGCTGTTGCGCGGAATAGAGAGGTTGATGTCTTGATTCTGTGGTTGAGAAATAAGCGTTTTGACTCCGAAAGTCGCAGAGAGATGGTCGAATGGATGGGGTCAATTGAGCCACCGCGGGGTGTGTGATTAGCTCAGCATGGCCTGGCGGGGCCGTAAGACTGGGTGAACCTACACATGTGACTGTCATGCTTTGGAGAAGTACTAATACCTATAATAACCGTCTTTTACAGCGATTGAGTTTGCGTTTCTTTATGTTGTCAGCCAAGCAATATCTGTGGTAGACATGGCAGATAAATGAGGGCTCATGGCAAGACAGGAACTTGGTATTCCCCAGGTGCTTATCACATGAAGACTGTCCTGCATTGCGTTCTACTAGGATGAGGCATACCGGCAAGCTGTTCCGTTGATGCTCAGATGCCGACATGATACCCGAGTGTAGTAGATAGCTACCTACTACCTACCTTCATCCGGTAATCTCCCACGTTATCGGTTCATCCAACGTATGTATGAGCCTTTTTCAACAAACCGGATCGCCTTTGCTATGCAGAACCTGTTTTATCTCCGGACAGTCCCGCCTCGTCTTCGCATCGCCTTTCGGCACTCTTGGGAAGTGGAGCAGCCTTTGCAGCTTCAGCCGGTCCGTGCGGCTCCGCGATCGATTTCATCGGCCTCCAGGGATGATGCACGCAGCTTGCCGTCTGCTTCCGGTTGCACTTCGTAACATGTATCTATGGGATGCGCACGAGTGGATAGGTGCCTTTCAATATCGTGAAGGAAGAGAGATATAGGCTTGTTGCTCCAGGCTCCGAATCATTACCTAAGTGCCTTAGGTATAAAACAGTCTCAAGTGGAAACAGCTCACTCCAAGTCTGCGATTTGTCGCAAGAGCTCATCGTGTTGCTCACTGCAAGACGACCTTGGATCGGGACATTGGTGGGGCAAATAGCTACATGAACCACGGCGCTTCCACCCGCAACGGCCCCGTACCTGCCTGCCGTGTCGCAGTACCACCTACGGAACAGTACCTGCTTGTACAGAGAGCTTGCAGGTGCTGCCATCGGTGACGGCTCTTGACGCCCAGTGATGTCACTGCCTTCGCTTCCTCCAGCCCGCGGAACCAGGCGACCGCGGCCTATGTCCGGAAGGATGCACCCAGCAGCGAGGCACAGGCACCTTCCAGTCATTTCCCTGCTGCGACATTTATATCCGTCGAGCCCGTCTGCGCGATTCCTCTCGATTGCCTCACTTCCTGTCTCCTCTAGACTTTACAGATTGCGAGCTTCGCAGCGCAGGCATTGTCGCGTGCCAACTCTGCTAGTGGCAGGTCCAACTCTGTAAGTTGCTCCCCATTGACCGGAAGTGGCTGCTGCAGAGCTTCCTATTGCGCCGACTTGCTTTTCCACGATATCCCCGTGAGCTACAGCGGGCGTCATCACTCACCAGCACGCCATCTCCTCGTCCCTAAGGACCCCTAAACACCTCACGATCCTGCATATCATATACCATCAAGACGTACAGCATCCTAATTGCCATCTTACTCTCTTTTCTAGGCAGCACTCAGGTTTCGGATACCTCGGTCGCCAGTCCACCTCATCATGTCACACCTCTACCCCAAGGCTGATGCCCTAAGGGGCTCCTTCTTCAGTCCATCGACTACGAATCCTAACTCGCAGATGAAGGCGACGCCTCTCCAGGCTCGTCCCGAACTTTACGGAGCCTATTCCGTCGTAGACAGCGCCAAAGACAAGGCCGCGAAGCTGAGCAACGAGGCCACCAGGGAGTTTGAAAAGGCCAGCTCCGCCGCCCAGGCCAAGGCTGGAAAGATTGAGCTTTACTCTGGAAAGTATTATGCGGCGTGTACCTTTGGAGGTCTTTTGGCATGCGTAAGTCGCGGCTGTCTCTTCCCCATGGTTTGCGAGGGCTTGTAAGAGCTTACACGTCTTTTCCAGGGTCTCACGCACACTGCGGTAACTCCTCTCGATTTCGTCAAGACTCGCCGCCAGGTCGACTCAAAACTCTACAAGAGCAACTTTGAGGCATGGGGAAAGATTTACCGCGCTCAGGGCATCCGCGGCATCTTCACCGGCTGGAGCCCAACCTTCTTGGGTTACTCGGCCCAAGGCGCCTTCAAATATGGATGGTA